TAGATGTTTATTTTAAGAAGTGTGAAAGAGTTTAAGGACTTATTTAGTGTTTTAACTTATTACATTTAATTATTTTTTAAAAAATATAACAAAAAGTTAAATAGTATAATCTAACTTATATTGATTTCTACTCGCATACCTTATCTATATCTAACACTTGTTCATGGTATTTTGTCAATTTAAAAAGGATATTTTTAGTTTTTTATTTCTTTTCTCTTTTAAGTTTTTAAGGGACGTTATTGGGTTTTCTAGATGGCTGGGTGGATAAGACTTTCAGTCATTCCGGGCACCAAAACTGATAGCAAACTCAAATCTGTCCTCGACATTTCCAAGCTACCCTCCTTACTGTTTGAAACCAAAAAACCTCTATTGATTTCTCCCTACATACCTTCTTTACATTTAATACATGTTCATGGTATTTTATCAATTTGAAAAGGTATTTTTGGCTTTTCATTTCTTTTCTCTTTTAAGTTCTTGAGGGACATTATTGGTTTTTTTGGATGGCTAATCAGTCATTCTGGGCACCAAAACCGATAACAAACTCAAATCTCTCTTCGACATTTCCAAAGCTCCCCACTCAGCTGTTCAAAACCAAAAATTGATTTCTCCCTACATACCTTTTTTACATCTAACACCTATTCATGGTATTTTATCAATTTAAAAAAGCATTTTTGGTTTTTCATTTTTTTTCTCTTTTAAGTTCCTGGACATTATTAGGTTTTCTGAATGGCTGGATGGATGAGATTTTCAATCATTCCAAGTGCCAAAACCGACAACAAACTCAAAGCTCTCATCGACATTTCCAAAGCTCCTTTCGTAACTGTTCGAAACAAAAAATTGATTTTTACCTACATACCTTCTCTACATCTAACACCTATTCATGTTATTTTATCAATTTAAAAAGGTATTTTCAATTTTTCATTTCTTTTCTCATTTAAGTTCTTGAGTGACATTATTGGGTTTTCTAAATGGTTGGGTGGATGAAATTTTCAATCATTCTGAGTGCCAAAATCGACAGCAAACTCAAAGCTCTCCTCGACATTTCTATAATTGCCCTCCCGTTCAAAACCAAAAAACCTATATTGCTTTTTACCTACATACCTTCTCTACATCTCACACCTGTTCATGTTATATTATCAATTTAAAAGGGTATTTTTTATTTTTCATTTCTTTTCTCTTTTAAGTTCTTAAGGGACATTATTGGATTTTCTAGATGGGTGGGTGGATGAGATTTTCAATCATTTTAGGCACCAAAACTGATAACAAACTCAAAGCTCTCCTCGACATTTCCAAAGTTCCCTTCCCAACTGTTCGAAACCAAAAAACTTATATTGATTTCTACTTATATACCTTCTCTACATCTAACATTTGTTCATGGTATTTTATCAATTTAAAAGGGTATTTTCGATTTTTCATTTCTTTTCTCTTTTAAGTTCTTAAGGGACATTATTGGGTTTTCTGGATGGTTAGGTGGATGAGATTTTCAATCATTTCGGGCGCTAATATCGATTGCAAACTCAAAACTCTCCTCAACATTTCCAAATCCCCCCCTCCCAATTGTGCAAAACCAAAACTTCATCTTCGATTTCATCAAAACCCCAAACAACAAACACAAACCACATTTCTTCTCTCTTTCTATTTCTCTCTATAAAAGGGGTTCTTGTAATAAGAAGAAAAAGTGTTGTAAACAAGTCTAAGGGATGTACCGGAGGCAGAGAAGAGAAAGATTGGAGCAATTCTTGAAATATTGATTGTCATGGCAGGTGGAAAAGAAAAAGAAAAGAATAGGTGTTCTAAGTAAGAATAGGCTAGAGAGAGAAGCATTGAGTGAGAGTCGAATAGTTTTGAAAGTGAAAAGTCCCCTCCTTGAATTGTGAAGTCTTTATATATAGTGTCAAAAGTAATGGCTATAAGAAAATGTTTCAATGCACATAATGAATGATGTTATTAAGGACAGTTTTAATGTTAGTTAACCGTTATTGAGAGTTAATGTCAAGTAACGGTTAGAACCTATTGTGTGACTATTGAAGCAAATAAATGTAATAAGATTTATTCTTGAGTAAAAGCTAACAAAGAATAGCTATACATGAATAAGTACAAGAGAAAAAACTATACATGAATAGGTATAAGAGAAAAAGTTATGCATGAACAAGTACAATAGAACAAAACAAAAGAGAGATTTTAAGAAAATGTTAAGAGAGAAACATCTTAACTACCTCCATATCGGAGCCATCAAGCTAAAATTTTCGAAACATGCTAAGATGAAAGTGACCCGTAAACCTTGCCATTTATTCTGAATTACTTTCACTGTCATTTATGCGAAGTGATTATTAGTAATTATTCTACTTGTATTAGTTGCTCTATATAGAGTAGTACTCCATTTATTCTAGTTGTTCCATGTGAAGTAGTAATTTACTTTTTTTAATTGTTCTACGAGAAGTAATGCTTCACTTGTAATAGTTGTTCTCATTATTTTCTGTACAATATTATGCTATAACCTAATTCTTTAAATAATAGATATTAATCAAAATCAAGTATGTACACTCTCCCTTTCTTCTTCTCTCTTTATCATTTTGTTTTTCTCCTTTTTTTCTCTCTTTATTCTTTTTTCCTTTCTTTCTCTTTTTCATTCTTTTTGTGGTGGCTTATGGGTTTTCGGTTCTCCATTTGTTTGAATGCTTCCAAAATTGTCCATACCCAGAAATCATGAATTTTTTTTTGAAAAGCCCTTGAAATCATGGAATTGAAAAGAGAGGAAATTATGAGTACACTTTTTTGATAAGGACATTTCAAAAATAACTATCAAAATAAATTTAATTATTTTTAGTCATATTTAGCCATGACTTAACAAAAATACTTTTGAAACTATTTTAAATAAATTAAACCATTCATCAAAATTTCTCCCTATTTGTGCTTCCAATTTCTTTCTCTCACCATCCCACTCTCTCTAATTTTATCAATTTCTCTCATCAACACTCGTCTACTATGCTCTCGATTTTTCTCTCCTGATTTTCATATTTCTCTTTCCAGCACTTTGAAAACATCAAACGATAGTTTTGATGTACTTGAGTGGATGGCTATTTGAAAATTTTGATTTTTAGGTATTTTAGATAGAAATGATCACAGATGTTTGAAATAGCTTTTAATTAGATTAATTCGAGATTTAGACACCAATAAACTCAAAATTTTAAAATTTATAAACCTACGTTTTTAAAAAAAAAATTCAATTTTTAGTCAAAATAGGTGTTTTAGATAAGAAAATTGATGTTTTGATTTATAAAAACATGTTAGAAACACGTTAATCGGTGTCAAATTGTCAAAAAAATAAAAAAAAAAGTCAGAGAGGATTTGAAATTTTAGTTTGTAAATAACAACAACAGTTTAGGCATTAAAGTGTACTAAAATATTTTTAAATATGACGTGTAACAATAATATTTTTTCAATATGACGTGTAATAACAATATATTTTTTTTCAATATGACGTGTAACAACTTTTATTAATCATGACGTGTAACATGTTTTTGTATATAGCATGTGCCAACAGTTTTTTTTTTTAACATGACGTGTAATAACCTGACCATGACGTGTAACATGTTTTTGCACATGACGTGTAACAACCTAACTATAGCGTGTAACATGTTTCTGTACATGGCATGTAACATCATAGCGTGTAATTTTATTAAAGGTAATTTTATCCAATTTAACTAAAAAAAATTAAAATTATAAAAAAACTATTTTTTAAAACGTCTTATTTTAAAGGTTATTTTTAAAAATGCACCTTGAAAGGATATCTTAAGTTTCTATATCATCTTCCTACAATTTTTCTGTAACCAAACAGGGCATTAATAGTATTAGTATTTGTTTATTCTTGAAATTCTCAATTTGTTCTCACAGCCCTTTATTTTTTGCATCAGGAATTGAAGTAAAACCTGAAAAATCGCACCCTTATCATTTTGACAATGTGCGAGGAAAGCTTCGCATTACTCAGGTACATTCTCCTAATTTAGAAATTGGACGTTAAAAAAAAAAAGAAATTTGATTTGATTTTTTGAATTTAGGTTTATGTTGGAATTTTTATTTTTATAAAAATAACAATTAATGTAGCGGTAATGTTGATTGTAGCTTAAATGCTTTTATGAGTTGCTTTGAGGTTGTAACCCTTCTTTAGTGGAGTGATTGTCCGTATGGAATGGAATGAAGTTGAACCATTTACTTTGCATATATTGGTCTATGGTTTGTTAGGGTTCAGGCTTAGTTCTCTTGAATCGCATAGTCGCTGAGATTGCATATGTGTTTTGTTGGTTCTACATTTTTTTCTTGGGTTTCAGTGCTTTGCTTACAATTTGTTAATTATTTTTTTTGCTCATTTTGTGCTTTGATTTCCTTACAAGCGTTTATTTATGTTCATATTAGAATTTATTTAACTTAAGATAATAAAATAAAAATCATTTAAATATCATAAAAATAATATTTATTTGAATACAACAAAAAAATAAACGCTTAAAATATTATGAACAAAACTGTGTAAATAAATATTTATTATTATATTTATCTCCATTGGACGAAATGATACATCAATGCTATACTCTATATAAATATCATTATCTACTTTAAACATTGCAGCCATATATAGTATTTTGCACTCGGCTCGAATTCTTTTGAAGTTTCAACTACTCGTGTGGGTTTTGAGTCCATGACAGCATTCAATCACTTTGATGTTTGTAGCGAAGATGGGGATGTTCAGTTTCATATGGCTATTGAAGCTCAAGTAACGAGTTATACAAAGGAGCTGACAGCTGAAGATGAACTTCAAGATGTTGATGATATGGAACATGAAGTAAATACGGAACTAAAACTAGAATCTGGAACTGAAGATGAGCATAAGAGGCAGGAGATAGATCATTGCTGGCCAAATGGATTGGATTTAAGTGAATTTTCCATTGGATTTTGGAGCACCTACACGCTCATAATCAAAGCCATACAAGTTTACCACATAAACATTTCACAATATCAAAAGAAATTGATGAATTATATGCCATCAAACGCTCAATGTCTATCCTAGTTTGTGAATACGCTCCTTTCCACCACTTCAAAGCCCATCCCTTCACAACAAGCTGCCTTCTTATAAATGGAATGGGGGAAGGAAATTTGTGGTGTCACATTAACCCTTCGGGTTGTTAGTTGTGTGCTGATGTACGACATGTAATTTTATGCAGGAATTGACTAAAAGCTACTATGCAATAATTACATTACAGATACAAAATGAATTGTAAGGCTTCACACTGTACATCTTACTGCCATCCCGAACGCGTATCACCCTGAAACATTGTGTTTGATTTCAGCATCTTCTTTGCCAAGTTGCGGATATCATCTCTGCTGGATTCCATTGATATCCTTTGAAGCTCTTGCAATCCTCCACTTGATGTAAAATCCTTGGCATTGTCCTCTACAAGAGGCATCAGATTAAGTTGTATTAAAAGTGCTGCTAAGTGTCAACAATGAAAAAATGGGCCAAACATGGAGTTTATAATCCATGAATTAAGATGACTACCACCAGCATAATGAAGGATGCAGTTGGATTTTAGTAACTTTTACAGTTACACATGCTCTTTACTAAATCTCATTTGGTGGTTTCATCTTCGATATGTAACAAAAACCCGCATTCCACAAATGCATGCACAGAAAGGAAAAGAAAAGGATGCCCGAAGTCCCAAAAGGAAGAGAACTGCGATGTTTAAGTACACCCAATCAGGATAATAAATTAGAGCTTCATCCTAAAAATTTGATGGAACACCTATAGTTTATACTGCCTACGATTTTCACTAAGCATGTGAAGCCAAATCTCCTGTAGATGACCAATGTTTAAATTTTGACAAATTTTCATTGAATAATAATGTTAAAATCTTGTATATGTTCTAACAAGCTCCTATCTAATCTAGTTAATTCTCGAAAATTTGCAATAATTTCCAAAATTTTTGCAAAAACAGCATCATTTCCAAATCTGTAAAGTATATCAGTATCAAAATGTTGCCTTGTATAGAATTCTCAACCCTAGAACTTTGTTTACCGTTTTGTGCTAAATGACAAAGGGCCAGCTCAATGTGACGTCTGGTTGAAGCTGATGCAGTATTACAGTTGGCAATCAACCATTCAAGTCCACCATCTTCCATTAGAAGTGAACGGCCTTTGCGATGTCCTGCAGCAACAAAGGTCATTAGAATTATGAAGAGAGAAGATGACCTACATAAAATTTCAAACTTCATACAAGGACATGGATGAACCTTGAATAATTGCTCGGGATTCGCATTTAGCAAAATTAGCCATTCCTCTAGCAACCTGTGCAACCACATCACTGTTCCCTGATCTAACCATTCCTAACAATGCCTTGATGCCTCCATCTTCTTTTAGCATTGAGTGCAATTTTTCTGTTGAACAACAAAAACATCCACGTTGAACATAAATCCCCCTGACAATTAACTTCCCTTGTCAATAAGATCTGCTTTCTTAACTTGGATATCAGGCATACTGTGAATCATATGTCATGAAGCAGTCACTAATACTGAAAAAAATAAAAGCATTTGAGGATCTCAGCAGATGGATTCCACACTTGAAGTAACTACAATTTGAACAAATGGATCCTAACCTAGGTGGCACATACCAACCAGTTCAAGCCTTGGCTCAAGGAAAAGGTCAAACATTCAAGCCTTTGTAACAGCTAGGCACACTAACTTACCAACAATCCCTACAGCCAATCCCACCCCCCACCCTCTCCGCCCAAGAGAAAATCTCCCGCCAGTGCACCAGAAAAAGGAGAAAGACATACCATTTCCACATAAATTGGCAACTGCACCAGCTACCATTCTGAGAGTTTGTGGATCGTCTGTTTTGGAAGCTGTCTTTGCTAGCAACTGAGCACCTCCTCTGCTCACTATTAGGCCTTGATTCAACTCTGAGAATGATTTGAAAAGAAATTAATGTAGTGAGTCTCTGATACATTATAGAGGAGTGAAACATAATTAGTGATTAAATACAAATATTAAAAATGTTATATAATTTCCATTTCAAATAAGGAGTTAAAAATATTTCAACAGGGAGATGATGAATCAATGAGATAATGGTTCAAATTTCCTCTCAGCAATTGTCAATGTGGAGTGATAAACTATATTTATTTGCATATTCCAATCTGGTATACTAATTTGCATAGACCCCACCTTCGAATTATGTTCAGATAAACCAATCATCAGAAATCCATGATAAAGGAAGTTAATTCCATCTTCTAAAAATAAAAATTTTTCTACCCTGCCTTTATTTAAATTAATCTCATAATGGGAGCTCAAGTCAATCACAAATCATTAATCCAGATTCAAACACATACAATTGTGGCCCAGTATTTCGGGACAGTTCCCACCCACATGCAACTTACTGATTTGAAGGCCAATTTGTACCTGCCAACTCAAAATTTTTATCGACCATAAGGGAATCAGGATATACCAGATTCTCCTGAGATTTTATTATAAAGATATTTCCAGGAATGACAGTGGTGATGCTCAGTGCACTACTTAAGAGAGAGTGAAATGTTTTGCTGACATAACTCCAATATCATGAGCCATTAGCAAGACAAGAAATCATGAAATTGAACAGCTTTGCATGGACTAGATATGTATGTGCGCTAATTCTTCATATGATAATGTGTGTTGCCATTTATAAACATTAAAAAACTGATATATAGAATTTTTTAAAAATATAAAAGGAAAAGAGATTGAATCCTTCAATGATATGCATTAGCCAGATTCAGTGTGCATAAAATGCTAAGGGAAGATTGAAAGTCAGAATTACCATTCATTGCCAAATTGGCAATGGCACCAGAAGCCACTCTAAGTATAGTAGCATTTTGAGATGATTTCAACATTGTAAGCAGAGCATCTAAACCACCTTCCTCTACAATCTTCTCCTGGTTAATATCTGCAGAAATTAAATCCTTAAGCGATACCAATTGTTCAACCAGAGTGAGATGATACACTTTCAAAGCACAGGAGGAACAAAAAAGAAAGAACCAATGGAAAAAGAAACAGGGAAATAGCTGTGCAGTAAAATCAATCCAAAACACAAAATTCCATCATAAGATTGTCCAAACAGAGGGAAAAGAATGAGACAATTTATTTAAATCCAATCTAAAGGCATATCATACTCCACCTTCAGCAGCAAGATTGGCTATCACTTTAACAGCATGGATTTGCACGTCTGAGTCTTCAGAAGTTAACAGTTGTATTATCTTTTGAAGACCAACTAAATTTAAAAACCATAAACACGTAAGTCAAGATTGTTCATCAGTTAAGAGATATATTTTGATCATATATGGTTTTGTTACAGCAGAAGTCATGCCTTCTTCACAAATCTTTGCTATTGTAGCCCTCTGAGCAGATTGTGTCTCCCTTAATGGCCCTGACTTATTGAGACTTGCTGAGGTCCCAAATACTGAAGCCCCTCTGATATTTTCCTTCATATATGATCTTTTATCCTGTGAAACTTTATAGTATAAGACCATAAAGCAATAAGAATGAATGTGTAGTAGAAAATGTACAAACAACTTACCTCAAAATCTTTATCACCTTCAGGTGCACTTTTTTTAAGCTTTACCAGCTCATGTTCAATTGTCTTCCTCTGCTTCTCTTCTGCTGAGAGTTTTTCTCGCACAACGTAAAGCTCTTCCCTAATTGTTTCCTAAACAATACCAATATTTTTGGAAAGAAAAACAGTAAGGGTAAACTTTGGGTTGCAACCAACATAGGCAGTTCCTTTAGTTCAGAACTTTTGGAAGCCTGTAGTCCAAACAAACTTGATCTAAAAGTTATGCAAGCATGCATGTGCATACATACACATGCATGCAGACCAATCATACCTTCTCCTGAATCTGATCTTTAAACTCTGCTTTCAGAGCTTGCAGTTCATTTACAGTAGATTCATGAAGCTGATACATTTCTTGAAACTTCAATCTCAGCTCACTGATTTCTTCCTGCTCCTGGATTTCACAACAAAATAACAGAAGAGGGCATAAAAGAGTTCAGAGAGTATCTTCTATCAAAGCCAGTAAACTATCTGCAGCAGAATAATGGAAGGAACAAGGCATTTCAGGAATGTTTAACTGCTCAAAAAGACTAGACTGCTATTAGTAATACATATATGCAACAAAGACAAGAAGTTAAATTTGTGCACCTAACAGTAGCATGAAGTCTCTGACTCTCCCACAGGACTAAAAATAAATTGATATGTGAATCTATGTTGTCTAATACACACAACCACAACTGGGGTTTCAGGTAAAGTAACAGCTGGCCAAACTGGTAACATATACAATATTTGGCAGTGTAGCTCTTTTATCCTGGCATCCTGTGTTTTTAACCATGCTCCATCATTTAAAGAACAGTTTCAACCTAGACATGGGGCCTCTAACTGAAGAGTGTTCTAAAGTGGTGTTGATAAATAAAACACATCACACAGACTGAAGATTTCAAAATGGGAGCAAATGAACAATAAAACTACTAGCAAGTCTACTTTGAAATTTCATACATTTAGAAACAGAGATATGCATAAACTATATATGTCCAAAACTTAAGATGCCTCAGTTTTCCCAAATATATTTATAACAAGTCTGGAGACATCAGTTTCATCAGGAATTACACAACTTATGCAGCCATTTGCATGTTATAAGGCACTAGGATTGACCCTGCCTCATTATTAGGAAGTTTATAAAATTATTTTGCAGAAGATATTTGGGAAATGACTCAGTTCCATGGAAAGTCAAGAGGACATCCTCTGTACTAGTCCCTATTCAACAAACATGCTCCCAAATTTTTCTATAAGTCTGAATGAAGATGAAGCAATCATGCCCATAAATCCTTCCTGTAACAATTTTTACCAAGATAAAAGCTATCAATGTACCATCAATCAAAAACTCAACTCTCCAGCTCCTATCAAGAGCATTGTGTACTTCCTCAAGTTTTATGGAACATCAGATTGACTAAAATAATTGTTAAGAAAACAGAACGACTATAAAATAAAATAAAACATAACCAGGACCATGAAGGGAAGAATAAAAAGAATTTTTTGTCATAGCAATTAGAAGTAAGGAGCTGCCAAAGGAAGAAAGATCATTTCACATTTCACTTATCCAAACTTTGTGGGAGAAACTTAACCTGCATTGAGTTTTGATAATCTCTTAGAAGCTTGTTTGCCAAATCCAGTTGGTCTTGTACACTTTCAAACCTGGTGTGCTCATGTTCTACTTGCTTAGTTAACTCCCTTATTTTCTTCTCATACATCTGAGTAGTGTCAGCAAGAACCTTCAGATAATTAGAATTCTCCATCTCATGTTGCTACTAGCAATAAGAATATATAATTAGGTTTTACATATAATCTCAAAAATAAAACAAGGAATCAGTGAAAAGAAATAACTAGCAGAAAGTAGAGGTGGTGCAAACATAATCAGTAGACAAACTACTAACCTGAATTAACTTTTGATGGTCACCTGATAGCTTTTTCATTGTATCTAACTGTTCTTCAGCACTTTCAGACTGGGCACGCTCAACTTCTAGCCGCTTGATCAAGTCGGCTATCTTGTTCTCATATATCTGAGTGGTATCAGCCAATACTTTCTGATATGTAGAATTCTCAAGCTGGTGTTGCTACTAACAATTAAAAGAACAGCATAAATACTAATGTCCATGTAGGTCTTATTCCTCCTCTTGGAGAGGGACAATGAGGGAAAAGAAGAAAAAAGAAGGGGTATAATGACTACATGGTTACATACAGGACCTATATAGTTTAAGTTTAAACTAATAAAAAAGAATAAGATTCTATAATTAAAATAGTAATGCTTTTGTGAGTACATGTTGCTTAATTGTGCATTTTGCATCCTTAGAATTAATATAGAATAAAAGTTTTTATCCATTCAAAAGTTTTGAGCATCACGAAGACTACAGCCCTGCAAGGTTGAAGCCATTACATAAAGTACTAACTTTAACAGCAGCCTCCTTAAGGTTTCGCATTCAAGTTCAGAGTCATAAGCATAAATTCAGTTGTCATTTTCTATGCTCATGATCTATGTTCACAACATGACAAACTCAAATATATCTATAGTCCAAATGGAATACAGTTTAACCTTCCCATGGCACAGCCCCCTTAGTTTGGTCATTTTGATAACCTTGACCTTGCCATTTTTAAGAATGCTAAGACAATGTCTTTTCCTGTATTCTTTTAATCTTTCTCCACAAAGCATTTGATTTTAAATCAAAGAGATGCTATGAAACCTAAGTTGCAAGGTTTTAAATTTTAAAGTTCAACATATGCACAAAAGGTTTCTACAATTTATTAAAGTTCCGTAAGACAAATTAAAGGTCAAATCAGAAAACTGATGAATTAGAAAACATGGGGCAAAATTTTATTACATACATACATGTGAGACAGTATAATCATGATTCATTCGTAAATCAAATGTTGTTCGCATCCAGCACTAATCAAGATTCTACATACAAAGTTGAAGTAAGGCTACTCTTAAAGACCATAATATTATGAAAAAGGCTTTTATAGAATAAGAGATCCACTGGAATGCTATCAACAAGAAAATTCTTAGTTTATTTACCAAACATTGCAGAGACTTGCTTGGATCATATAACCTATAAATAAGTAGAAAAACAGCCACAAAAAATTTTGATCAAAGAAAGCTACCTTGCTCTGCTCCAAATTCATTTCTAACTCTGCAACTTTATCTTGCATCAAAGAGTTATGATCTTTCTGACAGTTTAATTGAGCTAAAATGTCTTCCATATCCAATTCCAAGCGAGCATTTTCCTTCTCTAAAAACTGCAAAACAATATAAGATATTGAAAATTAAAAAAAAAAAAGATATCAATATTTGGATGCAAACCAGATTCAAAAATAGAGGACAAAAGTGTGATTTTAGAAGAAACATGTTGGAAAAATACTGGGAAACGAATTCTGGAACCAGTATCAACTATAATTAAGGAAGGAAAAAAAGGCAGGAGAGCAAACACTACCTCAGACCTTGTGACTAGATTCTTTCTTGTCTCATAAAAAGAATCTTGACTTTCCCGCAATTGTTTTTCCAAGTCATATTTGTCCCTCTCCCTCAACTTCTGTTGCCTATCAATTTCTGCAGTGAGATGGTCTACTTGAGTTTCAAGCTTCCGGCATAAACTTTCATAATCAAACTCTTCTTTAAGCTTTACCATATTTACAATTTTCATTGCCTGCAAAAACAGTTCATTAGGCTGCCTTATCATTAAAAGGATAATATCAAATAAAACAAGTGCAGTCTTTTCATCAACATTTATGGTACAAGCATTTAGCTATAAAGCAGGACAGATACACAAAGATACATAAATTCAGGCACATGTATGCACACAAACATGGTTGCACATATGTACATGGAGACACATTTAATAGCAATGTTGGCCATTTCTAAAATAAAGAATCCCACCTCAGCTGTCATAGACCCTAGATTTTTGTTTTCCTCAGGTTTAGTCATGCAGCATAAGCTTTGGTTGGCTCCAAAAAAGTAGGGAACTGATACCTACCCAACAACTAAGTAGCAGAAAAGCTCAATTTTTTTCACTTGTAGAATATTTCCACAGTTAATAGCTACTATAGGGGATTTTTCTCTCTGAAATCCTGCCATAGTTAATGAACAATCTTCTTAGTCAGCTCACATTAGCAGGTAAAACCCTTGGAAGCTATATCCTTCTACAATTCACTTAACGTATGACAATGACATACTCTAACTGTGATTAAGACCTAGTGCAACAACAACTTCCTCCAACTACAACAAGTTTATACAAGTTCTGTTGTATAAATCAATGCAGTGCTGCCTCCAATTTAAATTTAAAAGAAGAAAACGATATCCAGCAAAGCAAGCCTGCTCCAATTATTTACATGCTGAGCGGAAATCATCAAAACCAGGAAAATTCTAAGATTGAAAGATTCAGAATTTAGATCACAAATATTAAAGTATAAGGAACATCAAAATGCCATGGCAAAATAACAAAAGAAAGAGAAAGGGAAAGAGGTTTGTCAAGAATTAAACAGATAATATTGCATGTATTTGACAGGAGAATTCCTCAACTTTTATATTGCAATATTTTTCAAAGAAACTCACCCTCTGTCCAAACATTATTGTGCTAGTGGTCTCCGCATGATGTCGTGAAGATGGCCCAATTGTTATTATAAGTGAAGTCCTTGCAGAGCCTATACATTTGCAGATGAATCTTATAAGAATATTAGAAGATAAACCCAACAAGTATATTCAGATAAAATGACTAATACTGCATACAGATTGCGCTTAGTTAACCTAAATGTAAGTATCCTTTTGTTGTGCATATCGAGAGAAGTAAATTAGAATCTAGAGGAACATATCAAGGTATAAAAATAATATTTATATAAATATTATTGCAACCATTAAAATACTATAGAAAACCACAGAAACAGAGATATCATTGATAGAGTGTCCTAGGCCAAAAACTCCATGTTTTGACTTAGGTAGTACAAGGAACAAAAGGACAGACCATGAGTAAAGAGTTCCACACTAACCTCCAAAAGAATCACGAAGCAATCTTGTAAGTTTAGAATCCCTTGTAGGTATATGTGGACAGTTCTCAGCCAAGGCATTTATGCATTTTCCCAGGGAAGTGAGAGAGAGATTAATAAACTTAGCCTCTTCAAGCAAAAGGCCTTCACTGCCTACAAGATGCACAAATAGTTATGCAAGGTTTTGATGGATGATTTTGATAAAATAATGCTCGTAATTGTTTAACACTCAAAGAAACCAGAGATTTTCGAAACCAGTTATATAAAACTTCTAGTCTTGTAAGAAAACATACACAGATAGAGTACAAGACACTGTATTTAAAAAAAAAAAAAAAACCAAAAAAGTTAATGGCAAGATCTGTTTGAAGCATGCATTTAATCAACTAATTATAAATATCAACCATAAAGAGCATACCAGATTTGTCTAATCTTTCAGACCCTGCAAGATCCACAATCAGCAACTTGCTTTTCCTAACCACAGGTAAATTGCTTTTTGTTTTCTTGTCTTGAGAGCTAATATCATCTTCTGCTTTTTCAGGGACAGACCTCCGGATATAAACCTACCATATAAATGAATTCAGGCTCCTGTCTATACTTTTTCTTAGTCTATTTTTTCTCTCTTTGGGTTATTCACATTAAACATTGTAAAACTAGTCACTGCAAAATTAAAGGCAAGCATTAATAAAGAGAGTCTGAACTTCTGATGCACACCTACCATTAGAATTGCATGGCTACGTGAAGATTCTGTATTTAGCTTTGTATTAGCTGCATGACGATTAGCCTCACCAATTTGCAGCAGCTCTAGAAAATGATCTAGATCACGAACCTTCACTGTAACAGTACCAGGCAATGACACTTCCCCAGTCTTGGGATCCTCATTAATAGGGATATTTGTCTTTTCTGGTGCAAGCAAATCTTGTATAGATTCCATATACAACTGGATTAAAAAGATTAAAAATATTTAATCAAAAATAGTGATCATTCATCCGAAAAATTATATCAGTATAACTGGAGTGAACACATGAAATAATAGCTCAAAGGTTAGTCACCCATGAAAAAACCAACAACTAATCACTGCATGAACAATCTGGTAAAATATACAGTCTAGAGTTAACATTTGGTTTGGTTATAAGAAATATGGAAGTATGCATATCCATGTTTGACTACTAAATCAAAATGAGTGTCTGTGTGTGTGTCTCCATGATTGACTACTAAATGATAAGTGGAAACTAAAGGACTAATACAGATATAAGCTTTTGGTGCAAATGGCATTTTTCTGCAGTGTGGTCCTCTCATATTCCAGAAGAGAAGCATATTTTTCCACAAGCTTTGGCAGCATGCCCAACATAAAAGTGAACAAGTTATGGTAGGGTCCTTCATCACAATAGTTTTCGAATTTCCAAGTTTTTTTGTGAGATTACTTGCTATTAAGTTCACAAACTCTTTAATGCATCGTGAATTGTTTTCTAATGTAGATACCAATCAACCTGCACGCTCAATACACCAACTACATGCTGTTTGCTTTAACACAGGGCACTTGAATATATTGTCTTCAGTTGATGTAGCGATATTTTAGACAATGCCGACAGAAATTGACTTGGTGATTAATTTTAAGATTCTTAGCATTGGCATTTAAGAGCCAAATGGGTTCAAACGTTCTCTTTTCATCAGCTTAGTAAGCCATTTTTATTCACATTTTAGGGCTTTGACTTTGAAGCCTAGTAGCTGAGCAGGGTTCTGCCTTCTCTTAATTAGTGTTGTTTGCTACTTCTTTGCTATTGACAAATCTCAGTAGACCAGACCATGTTTCTCTCTATATTACTAGTATTAGTTTGTTCTCCTTCCACATAATTTCAATCTGGCTAAAATTCAACTCAACCTCAAAACAACAAAACCATACTATGCCTCTCAGGGAGATAAAGCATCAACAGAGAAATTGAACTCAAACTAATACACAGCTATATGTTGAGTAAGAAAACACATCTCAACAGTAAATTTAATCTAGAACCGCGAGACAAATGCCTATAAGCAAATAAACCCCAAGACACAAAAGAATGCAATCTGAATATTACCTGCAAATACGAGACTTCCACAGTGTCAGAAGCAATGGTTATGTTGGCCATTATGTCTTCTAGAGCTCTAACCATAATACCACGTTCAGATGCATCATCTTTACCAAGTCTGCCAAGTGTAAAAGTTTTTCCAGTGCCTGTTTGACCATAAGCCATAACCGTCCCATTATAACCACTCAATACACTCTGCAAAAACATGTCAAAATGAACCAGAAAGATTAAATATCAAATCACACTTAAAATCAAACAATCTCAGAAGGAGGCGGAATTGATGACTTCGAAACAACCAATAATAAACTGTAAATACATGCATATACATACATAATTAAAAGGATTAATTATTATGTCACATGTATGGAGCATTCAAGACTGAACATGCAATCGCTATCAGCCAACAGCACTGGTATCAAATTAAATCTGCAAGTTAGAAAGAACTCCACCACTTAATCATTTCTCACTCACCTCGACTACAGGTTTTGCTACCACTTCATAAACACGCTTTTGAGAGGCAGTTTCTGTAAAGACTTCATCAAATTTGTAAGATTCAGAACTCCAGTTGTTTTTTCGCAACTTTAACCGCTTCAGCTACATTGAACAAAAAAAAAAGATCAATATAACTTTCTGATAGATGCCCAACATTGGAAGTCTAGAATATATGCATACACAAGAACTGTAGAAGAATAGGACCCAACTTAATGACCATAAAATCATGAAACCATGCTATGAACCAGAAGTAAACAAGCTTTGATTTAGAACACCAAGAAAAAAGCCTTAAGAATTTGTTAATAAACCTATAAATTACCTCTGGCTGCAATTCAACACAGTCAGCAAAATCAGCATCTGAGAGAAGATCCTCAGCATTTCTTGGCCGAAGTCTGACAGCAACTCTCACCCTTCCAGGTTCTGTGAACCAACTTCAGAATCAAGGACATTTCAAAAAAGATACTTTAATCAAATGAAAATTAGTAATCAGAAAAGGTAGCAGGTTTCTCTTCTTCAAAAAAAGCAAGGAAAAAACTTCCTCTCTCCTTAAAATTAAACAAAATTCCTAACAGCGAGCAAAATCGTTATGTCCAAGACAAATGTTAATAGTCCAATTTCACATTTTAGCCATGATACTGCTCGAAAACATCCAAGTTCACTCCCAAAGTTCACGGTTTTAGCCAGGTTTGATTCCATCATTTGTTTATTCCCAAAGTACAAAAAAAGTTCCGACATTTTCATATACCCAACTAAGCTCTCTCATTTCCTTTTATTTTTCTTTTTGGAACATATGAAGAAGGCTACAAGGGAAGGGAAAATTCAAACGTTATACAGTACCCTAACCGCTAAGCCAGGCAGAGTTATTGCAACTAAAGTTTGCTTAAAAATAAAAATGGAATAAAGAAATAGCCCAAGTATTTCTTGCCCCTGCTTTCTGATTTGACAATGAAACAAGGCTTAAAAGAGAAATTTTGAGATCAAACAAGCATAACAGCAACAAATTAACAAAGGGTCATTATTATCCTTCCATTAAAGTCAAAATGAAACTCAATATTAAACTCTTTTAAAGTAATCCAAAAACAAACCTTCATTCAGAAGCAGTAAAATAGCACCAAAAAAAAAAAACTGAAACTTTATATACAAAAAACGAAGAAGAAAAAGAAAGAGAAAGAGGGGGAAGAAACCATTGTCATCTTCAAAGTCCCTAGAGTGAGAACGAGAAGTTGGAGTAACTGAACGTCTAGAAGAAGCAGAAGGAGGCTTAGCCTCCTTTGAACGAAGAAGAGACTGTTGCCCATTATTTAAACTTCTCGTTAATAAATTCCCAGCATGGCTTAGACCTTGTGGCTGTTGGGCACTTCTTTGCCTTTCAGCCCTTTGTGCTGGTCTCAAACCAGAACTTGTTGTAGCCATTGTCAGAGTGAAAAAAAGAAGAAGAAAGTCCCAAACTGGGTTTGGCTAAAAAAAAGTTGGTTTTTAAAGAAAGTGAGCAAATGGGTACTTGGAAAGAACAAAACAAACCCCAAGAAAAACAAGAAGAGATGGTTTTCTCTTTCTTTCTTTCTTCGGGACAAGTCCTTGGTAGGGAAGCAGTTGAGGCCGGCACGATAGAAGAGAAAGAAAGAAAAAAGAAAAGAAAAGAAAGGGAAATGGGGGTTCCCGCGTTGTTGGGTTGAGTTGGGGAGGTGGCTAGTTTGTTCTGTTGGTTGTGACAATGTCTATGGAATAGGGGCCGGCAGCAGCACAGCAGATTCATACGGCTTTAACGAAAATCTTCTTTCTTCCAAAGCAGTGTGTGGGTGTGTCACCATTGCTGTTTCTTTTTGAATTTCAAAAAGTTCTCTTTTTGAGACTTGATTGCTGCCTTTCTGCGCCTAAACAATAAAAAGGAGTTAGCCTTTTTTATTGCTTTTTTTTTCTTTTTTAATTTAAGCAATTACCATAGAGTTGTCATTAGTAGCAATATATCTTACTTTCCAAAAAAAGGGAATAATTTTACTTTTTTTTAATTGAAAAATGAGTACATTTTTATCAAAATAACGTTTCATTCTAACAAAAAAAAAAGGAATTTAATTGATTTGAATAAGAAATTAGCACTATACTTAGTACCTAATAAAATGTATAAGTGTCTTAAAGTTTGTGCAAGTTAAAAAGGACAAACAACATTGAAAGGACATACTAACTTTGTGTGTGTGTGTGTGTGTTTGACAACTATTTCATACACAAAAAGACAAAGGAAATTTAAAATTAATTAATTACATATTAGTATTAAAAATATTATTTAAATTTCGGTTTGATATTTGAAGTTTAAATATTATAATTAAGCACTAAAATTTTATTTAAATCAAACCATTTACCTTGTTAATCAAATGGTTGAGTGATCAAAAAACAACCGATAAAAATACATCAGGTGTCTCAATTTATTTAGTTTTGAAGCTAAAATATAAAATAAATTTGGAAAACTAATAAAAATACAAAATAAATCTTTTTTTTAATTTTTAGTTTTGGAATTTCAATAATTTAAAAAATCAAAACTGAAAAAATAACAAAAAAACTATTTCGAAAATTTTTTTGGAAACTAAAAAATGAAAAAATTCCAAAAGTTAAAAAAAAAGAAAAATTAAAAAAAAAAAAGGGGAGAGAGAGTGGGGAAGGAAGGGCCACTCATCCATCAATTTGGTATGCCTCAGACCTATTGATGGCGCCGATGGACCTTTCCCCTTTCCTTTTTGTCTCTCCTCTTTTCCTCTGTTACCTTTCTCTTCCATATTTTTCTTTTTTTAATTTTAAAAATAAAAGAATTTGAAAATAAAAATAAAAAATGGCATGTTAAAACATGTGAAGCATTTTTAGTGGTTGTGTTTATTACATTTACCTATTTGACTGACGGTATTGCCAAAGGTGCAAATTATTTAATCCAAATAAAGTTCAAATACTTAATTGAAAATTTTTAAATTTTAAATATCAAATTGAGAATTTCGTTAATGTTTGGATACCAAATGATAAATTAATATATTTGAAAATGAGGCCTTTCTTTATTTTGATCTTTTTAGAAAAGTATCCCTATTTTTCTATCATTCTCTCTTCTTAGTATTTCAAACAAAAAATAAATAATTTTTATTGATGACATTAATCATGAAGTTTATATGCAATTTTTCATTTATATATATATATATATATATGTGAAAAGATAATTTTTTTTAAAAAATAATTTTAATATTTTTATAAAAAATCATATCATAAATAAAAAGGTCCTTGAATTTAACTGTAGAAGTTTAATATTATTATCAATTGTTTTTAAATCAATTTTCAATCAAAAATGTAGAGCTTAAATTGATTAAAATTTAAGTGAAGAGATTGAAATCATAAAATTGAGATAGTATAAGAATTTACGCGGTGATCTAATTATGTTTGTCAGCTCTTTTATTATTCTTTTATTTATCACTTTTTAATATACTCATCACTTATTTATAATATGTGTTTGATTCAATTATTAATTGTGGATCTCACACATTTAAATGACTGATAAAAATATATTAAAATTAATATAAAAAAAAAGAGAATCAAAGAGAGGAGCCAACCCAACATTTACAGCCAAATGGACAATTTTATTCAAAGATATGGTCGCCTCAATCAATAATTTAAGTGCTGGCATTGATTGAATACATAAATGTAGGGAGAAAAGATTGAATGAAATTAATCAAAAGCAAGGCTATAAGAGAAGATTCATTCTTCATTATTATATATTTGACAGTTTTGATGACTTCTTCAATCTCCATGGCCAGATGATAGGGCAGACCCCAATAATCAATGTGACCCACATTACTAATAGTAGCTTGTTTTGTCATTTTCTATTTAATTTATATTTTATATATATATATATATGTATGTATATATATATGTATGTATAATTGACCCTTTTAAGTTGAACTTGGTGTTTCACCCTTCACCTCCACAATTAACATTCCAAAATATGCTTATCTCTTTTACTCTTGCTGCAACATTTGTTTTTTTCTATTAAAAATAATCTTCTACATTTTGACAACTTCATTGGAAATAACAGTTTTATATTTGTTTCTATTCTGTAAAATAATAATTAAAAAAAAATACTACGTTAATCAAAATCAAACGTTTACGCATAAAAATTTTTATTTGGTTTTGTATACAAATGAATTTAGCATCTAATGTAAATATCTTGATTTTTGCTTGCAAAAGAAAATTTGATAAATTCAGAAACTATAGAAAATGTAGAGATACAATACAAAGTTAACCACAAAATAAAAGACACAAATGCAAAGTATACATAGAGAAATAACTTAATTTGGTCTGTTAAAGAGGAGTATGAACCATAATTAACTCTATTTTCCACCAAATAAACAATTATATTATGTGGAGAGAATTTTACAAAGAAGTTTAAGGAAAGAATGTTCAATTAAAAAGATTAGGTATGGTTGAGAAGGATTGATGTTTGCTGGTTGTTCAAATGTTAGGATAAGAAGTGAGGAAAGGGTATTATTTGATAGACATTATATCTATCTATCTATCTCTCTCTCTTTGCTTAAATTATCAGACATGAAAAAATTAGTGAAAAGTGGACCATTATTGAGTTTGTTTCTTCTTTTCCTTTTCCTATATTATCTTCCTTCCAAGGTATTGTAAATGCTATACACAATAAAGATACAACTAAATTCTTTTGTCCACAAATATATATATATATATATATATATATATGTATATGTATGTGTGTCATGTTCGCATCAATGATAATATTTTTAAATATTAAATAACAAAAATGTTGCTTATAATGTTTAGATTTTAGATCACTCATTCAATTGAAAAAAAAAAAATGACTTTTTAGAACAAACCCATATCATTTAAAATTAAGTTAAAATTTAGCATAAGTTTTTTTAAAAAAAATTAAATTATTTAAAAATATTTAAATAAATATTTATTTTTGTATTACGTTTAACCAAGTTTTTATATTTTTATTTTAAATTAAATAAGTTATTATATTACACATTAATATCATGTCAACGTCACGTTGACATGATATTAATGTGAAAAGTAAAAATATCACATGATCATGTCATATTAATATATAAGGTCATTATCGATTATGACATGTTATCATATTACGTTAGTATCACATGACATGAAAAAATAACAAATGGTCATAAGAACCTATTTGATTTAAAATTAAAATATAAGACTTGATTGAATATAATAAAAAAATAAAAATATATTTTAATTATTTTAAATAATAGGATAGCTTTTTAATTTTTGATATTATATCAAATTTATCCTATATATTCATGAAAGTCCAAACTTTAAACTTAAGTTAAATAGTCTTTCGATATACAAAATTATACAAATTAGGATAATTGTTATTTTTAATAAAAATTTCAATATAAAGGTATTCCTAAGGAGATATATAACACAGAATTCCTAATAACCATTTTTTTTTCCATCTCTTTGGTAAATTTTATTGCTTTTATTGTTCATCTATCATTTTAATTTGAATTACAAATTTAAGAGAAAATTATTTCGCATCGTCTATTTTAAAATTTAAATACGACGATTTGAAGATAAACTTTTCAAATCTAAAAGGCTAAGCGTCTACGTGAGACACATTTTCATATACTAATGTAGCATTAAATTGATAAACCGGCTTCGAGCCACCAACACGGAATACATTTTCAACGTAATCCATGTAGGACAAGAAGTAGGCAACAAGACAAATAAATACTTGGTTTTACCATAAACTAAAATGGTGACTCATTATTCCTCTTTTAGGCCCCAACTGTCAAGCTCATAAGCTCTGTTGCTTTGCCTTCTCATGAACAAACCCATGTGTCACTCTGAACCCACTATGCATTTTGTCTAATTTTGAACCCACCGTCACCTCTTCGTCCAATGGTACCACGTACTATATGTTTTCTCCCACTAAAAAAATTGGGAAAAAATGACTAGATTAACCAATAGGTTAATTTTTGAGGATAAATATTTAATTTAAATTTGATTAATAATAAGTGAAAACATCTTATTATATTCACTTGTTTAACATATTTCATTTATTAATTAATATAAAATTTATTTAATCACTCAAAGAATTATCACAAGTAAAAATAGCGTGTTTAACATTAATGTGTGACTTATATACATATATATGACAAAGATATCATACTTTGATACTTTCACATGTAAAGATAATAGACTTATCACGTGTAAAGATAACATATGTATCATATGACTTAGACATACTATCTTAGGCAAGATAATTCTATCACATGGGAGTTAATAAACCAAGAAAATGCTTATTCTCTAACATCATGTTGAATTTAGAACGAGCATCTAATTTAAAATTAATTAATAATAAATAGATTTATTTATTTATTTTTATATGTTAATATGTTAAAGATATCCCAATCTAAAAATAATAAAGGAAAAGTGTATGTAAATAAAGACTTCAAATATAAATTACAGTAATTTATCTTCAAAAAAAATTAATATATATAATATGTCATGATAGTAGCATTACCCATAGAATAACATAAACAAGCAAAGTATATTCTTTATTTATTCTTAACAGCATTTTTGTTGGCTTGTTGTTACAATTCTAGAAGAAAATTAGGAAATGTATAGTATTAAAGAAGTGCCCTTTGTGACCATGTCAGCCAGGCAGACAATCAGATGTTTGAGTTTTCTTCGTGACATGATCCAAAAACAAAGACTCTGTCAGCTGAGATGAGTTGGATATTGTCAGTGCAAGAATCTAAACATGGCTAGGCTTTGCTCTGCCTTCCTGTCTGCTTTTGTTGGCATTCATTTGGCCGGCAAAATAATACAAAGTCTCCTTACCATATGCAAGCTGGAATGAAAACTACTTTATTTCTTTTTCTCCTGCCAAGATTTCCAAGCCCTTTTTATGAGATTCAGCAAACTAAAAGTTGTATGAACAGTTAAGGATAAGCTTGACCAATGTGCATGCAATGTGAATGTACTAATAGTATAACTTTCCCCTTTAGATTTTGTTAAGTGTTGACTCTAAGGGGGTTTATGTACCAAAGTCTTGTTATGTCATGATGAATGCAAGTGTCACAAGATTGGGCCTCAATTTCAGGGACAAAACCTGTTAGACTAAAAATTTATACAGGCTCAAACATTGTATAGTATAAGTCAGAATTCACCACACATTTGTGCAATCAAACCAGAGCCTGGTTTAGTTTCATG